GCTGCACTCCAGCTGGCTACAGAGCTGAGAGCTCCGTCGTCGTCGCTTTAAAAGAATAACAAAACAAGAGAAGGCAGCCGCGTGCGCTCAGCGCCTTGTTAATCCCAGCGACTGTTGGAAGCGCAAAGGCGGGGCGAATCAGTGAGTCAGGGAAGATCGAGATCAGTCCTGGCGTGAACCGGTGAAACCCGCGTCTCTTTTTACGTAAAAAGCGACAAAAAAGTTAGCCGGCGTGTACGCCGGCGTGTAGTCCCAGCTACTCGGGGAGGCTGGGACGGCAGGAGCAAGATTGGCGGAACCCGGGAGCGGAGCTTGCAGTGAGCCGCAGAGATTGCCGCCACTGCCACCCAGCCGGTGGAGACAGAGTGAGACCCGTCTTAAAAAGCTAAAAAGTTAAGATAGAAAAAAAATGAATGGCAGGCACGGTGCTACGCCTGTATCCAGCACTGTTGTGGGGGAGCGCAGAGGGGGGGCGGATCACGAGGTCCGGAGGGTGTTTGGGACCATCCTGGCCGTAACGACGGTGAATCCATGGTCTCTACTAAAAAGCACACACACACAAATAAATAACCGGGCGCGTGGCGGCGTCTGTAGTCGCCGCAGCTATCGCAGTGAGCTGAGCAGGAAGCGCGTGCAACCCCAGAGGTGGGAGCTGTGCAGTGAGCGGAGATCGCGCCGGCGGGCGTGCCACGCTCTAGCCTGGAGACAGCGAGCACTTCTGTTTCAAAAAAAAAAAGAAAGAAAGAAAAGAAAGAAATAAAGAAAAAGAAAGGAAACTGGGAACAAGGATGTGGCTGGGAAATATTTTTGTGGTTTTCTAATTTTCTACCGTGTATATACTACCTATTCAAATATAAGTAAAAAAAATTTTATATGTAAAATACCTTAAGACCAACATAGATGTGTCATGAAGTAGATTACTAACATTGTGAGTTTTTAAGATACCACACAAGTGCACAAGAGTTCAAGGGCATTTCAAGCTCAGGTAGGCACTTGGGATTTTGGCTACAGACCTAGAGGAATGAGGGTGACAAATGAACTCTCTCAGTTGCCTGGAACATTCAGAGAAAAAGTGTGAAAAGCACTGCTTTACAAGATAACAGGGCCCATGGGCAGGACATGATGGAGATACCCCTTGGAACTTGGAGATAAGGTCACTCTGAGCATATATATATATATATGTATATATACATATATGTCAAGGTCCAACCTGGAAAACCATTCTAAGTCTTTAAAACCCGGAGAACTTAATCCAGATAAATGGTTTATACAGGTATTGGCAGAGACAAAAAGCCAAATAGAGAATAGTCAAATAGCCCAGACAGAGATGAGTGACAGCAAGAAGCTACTGCCACCCTTAAACTGGAGGGACAGAAGGACAACACTGTGCTACCAGAGCTCAGGGTCTAGGACCAACTGCAAGTTAGATCCAAGTAGGTTGTAGGAGACACCCTGATGTTGAGGGGTAGGGAGAGGATGGATACTCTGGCTTGGAGGTGGTGTCAGTGTAGGAGATACCCTGACTTTTTCCTTGATCTCTCCAGTCTCCAGAAAATGCCTCCAGTTGATGGAGCCCAGCAATTCAGCTTGGAAGTCAACCAGTATAGAAGTCCAGCCCATGCAGCCTTCATGGAGTCAGTCCACCACAGACTTTTTTATTATTATTATTATTTGAGTCAAAGTCTTGCTCTGTTGCCAGGCTGGAGTGCAGTGGTGTGATCTCGGCTCACTGGAACCTCCACCTCCTAGGTTCAAGCCATTCTCCTGCCTCAGCCTCCCGAGTAGCTGGGACTACAGGTGCACACCACCATGCCCAGCTAATTTTTGTATTTTTAGTAGAAATTAGGTTTCACCATGTTGGCCAGGATGGTCTTGATCTCTTGACTTTGTGATCTGCTCGCCTCAGCCTCCCAAAGTGTTGGCATTACAGGCGTGTGTGCCACCACACCCGACCTTTTTTTTTTAAATAGAGATGGAGTCTCGCCCCATTACCCAGGCTGGAGTGCAGTAACCAGACCATAGCTCACTGTAGCTTCCAACTTCTGGGCTCAAAATGATCCTTCTACCTCAGCCTCCTGAGTAGCTGGGATTATGGGTATGAGCACCTGGCTTCCACTGCCATTTTGAAAAGAGCAGGGGAAAAGTGAAGAATAGACTTGGAAGCAAAAAAGGCTAGGGTCAGCACAGAGGGAAATCAGAAAGAAATCAAAACATAATTGATGGGCTGAACATGGTGGCTCATGCCTGTAATCTCAGCACTTTGGGAAGCTGAGACTGGCAGAGCATTTGAGGTCAGGAGTTCGAGACCAACCTGGCCAATGTGTAAAATCCTGTCTCCTACTAAAAAATACAAAATTAGGCGGGCCGGTGGCTCAAGCCTGTAATCCCAGCACTTTGGAGGCGCCGACGGGCGCGATCACGAGGTCAGGAGATTGAGACCATCCTGGCTAACCGGTGAAACCCTGTCTCTACTAAACAAATACAAAAAAATAGCCGGGCGAGTGGCAGGCGCCTGTAGTCCCAGCTACTCGGCGAGGCTGCCAGGCAGGAGAATGGCGTAAACCCGGGAGGCGGAGCTTGCAGTGAGCTGAGATCCGGCCACTGCACTCCAGACTGGGCGACAGACCGAGACTCTGTCTCAAAAAAAAACAAAACAAAACAAAAAAATGAGCTGGGCGTGGTGGCGCACACCTGTAATCCCAGCTACTCGGGAGGCTGAGGCAAAAGAATCTCTTGAACCCGGGAAGTGGAGGTTGCAGTGAGCTGAGATAGTGCCACTGCACTCCAGCCTGGGTGACAGAGTGAGAATGTGTCTCAGAAGAAACCGAAAACCAAAACAAAATAAACAACATAACTGATGAATTCATTCCCTTGAGGAAAATCAACTGAAGGTACCTGGACAAAGGTGGGTTTCTGGAACTGCAATATCAAGACCCAGGCATTTTCTGCAAAATGTCCTTTATAGCTGGTTTGTCGAAACTAGGATCTAGATCTAGATAATACACTACATCTGTTGTTATGTCTCTTAATATTTAAATCTAGAAAAATACCTTTTCCTAAATTGGTGAAGGAAAGAGGCCAGTTGTCCTACTGCCAGAATTTGTTTGCTGCCTTTTGCTTTCCTTTAGCTGATCCTATAGCCTATCCTGTTAACTTGGTTAGATCTAAGTTAAACATTTTTTTAAAAATATTTTTAATTTTTGTGGGTACTTAACATCTTTATAATACGTCATAGTTGTTGGGTATAGAGGCTTACACATGCGATCCCAGAACTTTGGGATGCTGAGGTGGGAAAATTTCTTGAAGTCAGGAGTTTGAGACCCTTTTTCTGCAAAAAATTAAAAAATATTAACAAGGGTATGGTGGCATGTGCCTGTAGTCCCAGCTACTTGGAAGGCTGAAGAGGGAGGATTGCTTGATCCCGGGAGGCTGAGGCTGAAGTGAGCTGTGATGGAACCACTGCATTTCAGCCTGGGCAACAGGGTGAAACCCTCTCTCAAAAAAAAAAAAAAAAAAAAAAAAAAGAATATGTCATAGTAGATGGTATCCACTTAATGTTGTCATCCCAGCAGGAGACATGTAATATGTGGTTGTTTTGCCATTAATTATGTTAAGATTTACCACAGTATTAGGGTGGTAAGAGCCTGATAACTTCATTACACAATTAACTTTCCTCTTAGGACCAGGAAGTAATCTTTGTGGTACTTATTATTTCTAAAAGTCAGTTTCCTCATCTGAAATAGGGTTGTTGAATGGATTAAGTAAATCAATGCGTTTAAAGAACCTATGACATAGTAAACATTCAAATAAACTAGCAATTATTATTATTATTTGGTTGCAATTCTACCATCAGAGAACATAGGGTAGAAGTTACTTCTTCTACAAAAGTTACTTCTATCAATTTCTTCCTATTTAATAATTACCTTTTGTGGAGGAGTTAGTGTGTACATTGTATTAAACACTTACAAGGATCTTCATATGTAATTCTTCCTTGAACCCTACAAGAATTATTACCTGCCAGGCGCGGTGGCTCACGCCTGTCATCCCAGCACTTTGGGAGGCAGAGGCGGACAGATTACTTGAGGTCAGGAGTTCTTCAAGACCACCGTGGTTAACACGATGAAACCCCGTCTCTACTAAAAATACAAAAAATTAGCCGGGCGTGGTAGCGGGCGCCTGTAGTTCCAGCTACTCGAGAGGCTGAAGCAGGAGAATGGCCTGAACCCGGGAGGTGGAGCTTGCAGTGAACCGAGATAGCGCCACTGCACTCCAGCCTGGGCGACAGAGCGAGACTCCGTCTCAAAAAACAAAACAAAACAAAACAAAACCAAAAAATTTTAAAAAGGCAAGAGATAACCTTTCTCTATCATCTGTAAAGTTGGACCCCCCTCTTCCCCCCTTCACTTTGCTCCACCTAACCGACTACTATAAATATTTACTATTTTTTTGAGACAGGGTACCACTCTGTCACCCAGCCTGGAGTGCAGTGGCGCGATCACGACTCACTATAGCCACAACCTCCTGGGTTCAAGCGATCCTCCCATCTCAGTCCCCCGAGTAGCTGGGACCACAGGCGCGCGCTACCATCTCCGGCGAATTCTTTTTTTTTGATACGGAGTCTTGCTCTGTCGCCCAGGTTGGAGTGCAATGGCGCGATCTCGGCTCACTGCAACCTCCGCCTCCCGGCTTCAAGCCATTCTCCTGCCTCAGCCTCCCGAGTAGCTGGGATTAGAGGCGCCCGCCACCACGCCCAGCTAATTTTTGTATTTTTAGTAGAGACGGGGTTTCACCAGGTTGGCCGGGCGGGTCTCGAACTCCTGACCTCAGGCGATCCGCCCGCCTCGGCCTCCCAAAGTGTTGGGATTACAGGCGTGACCCACCGCGTCGGGCCAACGTCCGGCTAGTTTTAAAATTTTCTGTAGAGACAAGTTTTGCTATGTTGCCCAGGGCTGGTCTCCAACTCCTGGGCTCACGTGATCCTCCCGCCTCAGCCTCCGGAGTACCTGAGATTCCAGGCGCTAGCCACGGCGCCGGCTCCTGTTGGTTTTAATATCTGTCTTGTTTCACTAGAATCTCAACTCCACGAGGGCAAGAATTTTTATCCGTTTTGTTCACTGCTGTTTTTTCAGCATTTATAGCAGCCCCATGGGCTTTGCAGAGAATCATTAGATATTTACAAAAAGATTAAATACGCTCTTCCGGAAGCATCGAGAAACAAGATTAAAAGAGCTTGGGTTGAACCTCGTGGCGACCCGTAGTACTCCCCCTTCCCGCCATCCTATTAGATGAAAGGAAGAAAGGGAAAAGCCCCGCCCCTCGCTCGGCTGCTGGTGGCGAGGGCTTCGGGTCTTCTCGCTAGTCTCGTGGGGTTCCGCGGTGTCGTCGCTGACTGTGCGCGTCATTTCCGGGCGTCACGTAACGGAGTGGCCAACGGCCTGCAGAGCAACATGCCCAAGTGAGTGGGGCCCCGAAATCTGAGGGTGATCGTAGTCACTAGTTGTGGCCCTTATGCAGGAGCAGAGAGCGGGTTCTGGTTTCTGAAACCTCGTGGGATGGCAGAGTATCTGGGACAGGTGGACGGAGATAGGGAGATGGAGAGCGCTAGACACCCCTTCTTAGAGTGGAGATGGATCCCGCTTAAGGCAACAAAAAAAGCCTGGTTTATATGTCGACGCTTTGACGCTTTTGAGTCGTGAGGAGGTCGGGCTTTTTGTTTGTTTCTTGGTTTTTATCTTCCATGAACACTTCCATGGATGGGCATCTAGCTGGTTGTCATCTCTTTTTTTCTTCCTTTCACCTCTTTTCAGGTTTTATTGTGACTACTGCGATACATACCTCACCCATGACTCCGTAAGTGGCGTATCCATACTTTCAAAAAGCTTTATGTGTAATAATTAAATGAGTTTTGTGTTTTTTTAAAGATGCAAGTTGTGCTTTCCCACCTGCTGAGATTTAAGTTCTACTGCTTGTAGAAAATAGTTGGAGGTTATTTCCCACCCTAGAGTAACTTTGATTAAAAACCGCTTAACAAGGCAGGCATGGTAGTGTGCCTGTAGTCCCAGCTACGCAAGAGGATGAGGTGAGAGAATCGCTTGAGGTCCAGGCTGCAGTGAGGCATGATCAGGCACTGCACTCCAGCCTGGACAACAAAACAAAAAAAACTGCTTATCAAATAATACAACAGTTAAAGTAGAATGTTTTGTTAGTACTTTTTTTTTTTTTTTTTAAGATGGAGTCTCACTCTGTTGCCCAGGCTTGAGTGCGGCGGCGCTGTCTCGGCTCACTGCAACCTACACCTCCCGGGTTTAAGTGATTCTCCTGCCTTAGCCTCCCGAGTAGCTGGGACTACAGGCATGGGCCACCACGCCCGGCTAATTTTGAATATTTAGTAGAGACGGAGTTTCTCCATGTTGGTCAGGCTGGTCTCGAACTCCCGACCTCAGGTGATCTGTCTGCCTTGGCCTCCCAAAGTGCTGGGATTACAGGCATGAGCCACCATGCCCAGCTAACCCCGCCTCTTAAAAAAAAATTTAGTGGTCTAAAGAGCACTTGAGTGGATCTTTGCCTTGCATGATTTTGTAATGTGCATTGGTTATTTGGAAAAGTTGATTGACTTGAGTTAGTGCCAGGCTTCAAATGTAGACACGTTTGATTATGTAATGAAAACTCACATTAATTAATGTCACAATCTAATCAGAACCATCTTTAAATATTGGGAAGCTGTCAAGCTTATGGTGGCAGATAAGATTTTCCAAAATTCTGATTTTTGCTTAATAGCTCAAATTCTATCACTGGCAATACTTTCCATTGCTCTGTTTGAAGTGACAGGCTCACTCCATTCATTTTTGAGAAGTCTGAATATACGGTTTGTGTCTGTCACTCTCAAATAAAAATGGTGTTCCATCAAAAAGGCAGCTGGGCTGGATATGGTGGCTCATGCCTGTAATTTCAGCACTTCGGGAGGCCGAGGAAGGAGGATTGCTTGAGCCCAGGACTTCAAGAGAGGCAGCTAGTAGAGCTCATAATTTGAACAATTACATGCCTGCTTTTCCTTGAAAGGGCATCATATTTTGGCATGCAACACAAGTGCTTTGTCTATTTTTCCCATTTTGTCACTCAGAATATTAAAAAGACTTGAACTTAAGGGTTGAGATTTAATAAAAATTAATAATTTTGTTGCTTCATTAATTTCACTCAGTGAAACTAGCTTTTTTTTCCCCCTATGAGTACATACATTGAAGAATACAGTGATCACTAATACAGTCGGGTGCCATTGCCTTGATTTGTTCTGAAGTGCCAGGAATTTGGCATCGTCAGTGAAAATGTCAATACAGTGAAAAAGGAAAGTAATGGCTTAGTAGTATTATGAAAACACTTTGAACTTGCAGACCTTGTGAAAGAGTCTCAGAGACCCTTAGATGTCTGTGAACCATGCCCTGAACACTGCAGCTCTATGCTTTGCTGCCTCTGTAGAAATCTGATTAAATCATAATTCTTTTTACAGCTGAGGCCTCGCTGTGTTTCCCAGACTGGTCTAAATTATAACTCTTGATTATCTTGAATAGTAGCTGGAAGAAACTGGCCAGTGATTTTTCTATTGTCACTTTATTTGGAATTCTTTCTAACATGTGGTCAGATGTAGTACAGCATTAATAGAGATGTGGAACATTTAAGTTGGGTGGTTCCTCTTGAAGACGTTGTTATAGTTCTGTATATTATCTTTTTTTTTTGAGATGGAGTATTGCTTTATTTCTCGGGCTGGAGTGTAATGGCATGACCTTGTTTCACTGCAGCCTCCACATCCCGGGTTAAAGCAGTTCTCCTGCCTCAGCCTCTCGAGTAGCTGGGATTACAGGCCTGCACCACCACACTCGGCTAGTTTTTGTATTTTTAGTAGAGACGGGGTTTCGCCATGAAGAAACAGTCCCACCTTGGCCTCCCAAAGTGCTGGGAGTGAGTCACTGTGGCTGGCCAAGTTCTGTGTATTTTCATACATTGTCCTGGAGTAGAATGCTCTGATAAATTGGTATTTTTAATAGCTAGTCGGTTCTTGCTTATAGATCCCTAGTCCTTTTTTTACCCCCTCTCTAGGTAAAACCCCCTAGAGATAATTTTCTGAAATTGTTAATGAGGGGGCTGTGCCTTTCTGCCCTTTTTTGGCATTATAGTTTCATATACCTATTATTCACTTTCTTGCTAATGCCAGAATTCAGAGAACTGAAAAGTATTTCTTTATATTAAAAATGTCTTTTCATGAGAAATGTCATGAACGCTTGTTCCTTCTAAAATGATGTCTTGCAAAAATAGAACATTTCTATGGTGATTGATTTTACAGATCCCTATAGTGGACTTAGAAATGTGTAAAAACAGCCGGGCATGGTGGCTTACGCCTGTAATCCCAGCACTGGGAGGCCAAGGTGGGCGGATCACGAGATCAGGAGTTCAAGACCAGCCTGGCCAATGTAGTGAAACCCCATCTCTACCAAAAATACAAAAAAAATTACCTGGTTGTGGTGGCACACACCTATCATCCCAGATACTTGGGAGGCTGAGGCAGGAGAATCGCTTGAACCTGAGAGGCGGAGGTTGCAGTAAGCCGAGATCTCGCCACTGACAGAGTAAGACTCCATCTCAAAAAAAAAAAAACCCCAAATAAAAGAAAGAAATGTGTAAAAACATTCAGTGCTGTAACTTTTGGACTTTGGTTGATTTTTAGTTATGAGTTTTTTTGTTTTTTTTTTTTTTGAGATGGAATCTCATTGTGTTGCCCATTCTGGAGTGCAGTAGCATGATCTCAGTTCCCTGCAACCTCCACCTTCAAGATTCAAGTGATTCTCCTGCCTCAGCCTCCCGAGTGGCTGGGATTACAGGCGCGTGCAATCATACCCAGCTAATTTTTGTATTTTCAGTAGAGACAGGGTTTCACCTTGTTGGCCAGGGTGGTCTTGAACTCCTGACATCAGGTGATCCGCCCACTTTGGCCTCCCAAAGTGCTGGGATTATAGGTGTGAGCCACTGCGACTGGCTGCTAGTCATGATTTTGTTATTAGGCTTAAGGCATCATTGTTGTGTTAATGTAAGCAGTGGTTGGGAGGAACAATTTTTTTTTTTTTTTTTTGAGACAGAGTCTCTCTGTGTCTCCCAGGTTGGAGTGCAGTGGCACAATCTTGACTCACTACATGCTCTGCCTCCTGGGTTCATGCCATTCTCCTGCCTCAGCCTCCTGAGTAGCTGGGACTACAGGCACCTGCCACCATGCCTGGCTAATTTTTTGTATTTTTAGTAGAAATGGGATTTCACCATGTTAGCCAGGATGGTCTCAATCTTACCTCGTGATCCACCCGCGTCGGCCTCCCAAAGTGCTGGGATTATAGGCTGGAGCCACTGTGCCCAGCCAGGAACAATTTTTTTTTTTTGAGATAGGATTTTGCTTTCTCACCCAGGCTGGAGTGTAGTGGAGTGATCTTGGCTCACTGTAGCCTTGATCTCCTACGCTCAAACGTCCGTCCCATCTTAGCTTCCCAAGTAGCTGGGACCACCACCTTTGCTGCAGTTACTCAACTTTTCCTTGTAGAGAGAAGGTGTAGCCAATATATAAATAAATGTGCTGGGCTCTGTGGCTCACACCTGTAATATCACAGCACTTTGGAAGGCCAAGGTGAGAGGATCACTTGAGCCTAGGGGTTTGAGACCAGCCTGGGCAACATTGTGAGACGTCATCTCTACAAAAAATTTAAAAGTTGGCTGGTCATAGTGGCTCGTGTCTCTAGTCCCAGCAACTCAGGAGGCTGAGGTGGGATGATTGCTTGAGCCCGGATGGTTGAGGCGGCAGTGAGCTGAGATCGTGCTATTGCATTCCATCCTGGGCAACAGAGCAGGACCCTTTTCAAAAAAAAAAAAAGGTAGATAGAGATAAATGTGGTTGTGTTCCAATATTTTTTTTTTCTTTTTTAAACACAAAAGCCAGTGGCTGGCCAATGGGGCATAGTTTGCTGACCTCTGGTCTAGATAATATAGTAAAAAAATTACCACAGTATGTTGCTGGATAATGTTTTTAAGTAATACTGTAGCAGCCAGCTAATGCTGCTGATACTAGACACGTTACTTATATAAAGGCAAAACTTTATTAAATTTTTAGTGTTGGACATTTGTTTCTGTGTCTGATATGATCTTTTTATTTTACAGCCATCTGTGAGAAAGACACACTGCAGTGGAAGGAAACACAAAGAGAATGTGAAAGACTATTATCAGAAATGGATGGAAGAGCAGGCTCAGAGCCTGATTGACAAAACAAGTATGCCTCAGTCTCTTGTTCTGATGTGGTAAAATGGTCCTATTCTTTCTTGTCCCTGTCTCTGGTGTTTTTCACAGAGGCAACTCATTCTGAATGATAAATAGGAGCATTTGGATATGTTGAATGAAAGAAGTGGAAGGTCATTGGTTTCCCAAGGATATAAGAACACATTAATATTTATTATTGAGGATAGAGCAATCAGAGACAGCAATAAGGTTAGATGGGGAAGTGAGGCAGAGAAGAATGGAGTTGCTTAATATTTATGTATTAACACCAGATTTTATAGCAAATTTCTATAAAGCCCCTTTGTAGTTAATCCACAGGTTTTAGAAGTGTGTTCCTATTCTAATAGGAGCAGATCAGGAGTGGGTTTGTGGTTTTCCCCAAGTAGTTTGAGACTATATTTAGATGTTTTATTTGTAGTCCTGACAGAGTACTAGTCAAAAAGAAACTACTTGATGTAACAAAATAGTCTGAATATGTTTCGGACCCCTGTTGTACATCCCATGCTCTTATTGTTAGGAACATTTTGTTCTGGCTTATTGGGTCCAGGACACTAACTGAAGGAGATGTTGCATTTTTAGTTTAGATCATCCTGGTGTATTTGAATCACAGCCTTTCTTAATCATTCGTTGTACTCCAAGCTGGCAAGCAAATGTGGGTTTTGTGATGTGACTTTTTAAAAAAGCAGTAGGGCAGGTGCAGTGGCTAATGCCTGTAATCCCAGCATTTTGGGAGGCCGAGGCGGGCAGATCACTTGAGGCCAGGAGTTGGAGACCATCCTGGCCGACATGGTGAAACCCCATCTCTACTAAAAATATAAAAATTAGCCCAGGCGTGGTGGCTCACGCCGGTAATCCCGGCCAAAAAGTTTTTTTAAAATTAAAAAGTAATAAAAAGGCAAAACTGGCCGGGCACACTGGCTTACGCCTGTAATCCCAGCACTTTGGGAGGAGGAGGTGGTGGATCATCTGAGGTCAGGAGTTTGAGACCAGCCTGGCCAACATGGCGAAACCCCATCTCTACTAAAAATACAAAAAATTCAGATGGGCATGGTGGCGCCTGCTTGTAGCCCCAGCTGCTTGGGAGACTGAGGCAGGAGAATTGCTCAAACCCAGGAAGTGGAGGTTGCAGCAAGCTATGATCGCGCCACTGAACTGCACTCCAGTCTGGGCGACAGAGTGAGACTCTTCTCAAAAAAATAGTAATAATTAATAAATAATAAAAAGGCAAAACTGTTGTGAAAATTTTCAAATAAAATAGACAAGCGGGTGCTGGGTGTGGTGGCTCACGCCTGTTATCCCAGCACTTTGGGAGGCTGAGGTGGGTGGATCACCTGAGATCAGGAGTTAGAGACCAGCCTGACCAACGTGGAGAAACCCTGTCTCTACGAAAAATACAAAATTAGCTGGGTGTGGTGGCGCATGTCTGTAATCCCAGCTACTCGGGGAGGTTTAGGCAGATGAATCGCTTGGACCCAGGAGGCGGAGGTTGCAGTGAGCCAAGGTCTCACCACTGCATTCCGGCCTGGGCGATAGAGCGAGACTGTCTGAAAAAAAAAAAAAATGGACAAGCTTAATGAACCTCCCATTCTGAATTTCCTCACCCTTCATTTCTCATTACTCAGCTGTAGCACTCTTGTTGCATTTATTCTGGGTTTCTCAACCTTGATACTGTTGTCATTTAAGGCTGGATAATCTTTTGCTGTGGGGATCTTTCTGTGCGTTGCAGGATTTTTGACAGCATGCCTGGCATCTGCTAACTAGATGCCAGTACCAATCTCCAGTTGTGACTACTAAAAATATCTCCAGGCATTGTGCAGTGTCCCTGGAAGGCAAAATTGTTTCTGGCCAAGAGAGCCACTGAATGTTGTCACCTACTCCTTCTCCTTCCTGGATTATTATGGAGCAAACCTCAGACATTGTCCCAGTTTTTAAAATTGATTTTATTTATTTATTTATTTATTTATTTATTTATTTATTTATTTTTTTGAGATTGAGTCTTGCTCTGTTGCCCAGGCCAGAACGATCTCAGCTCACTGCAACCTCTGCCTCCTGAGTTCAAGTGAGTCTCCTGCCTCAGCCTCCCGAGTAGCTAGGACTGCAGGCGCGCACCACCACACCTGGCTAATTTTTTTTGGTTTTGGTAGAAATGGAAGGTTTCACCATGTTGGTCAGGCTGGTCTTGAACTCCTGACATCAGGTATTGACTTGCTTTGGCCTCCCAAAGTGGTGGGATTACAGGCGTGAGCCACCATGCCCAGTCCCGATTTTTTTAAAAAAACTGAGTCTCACTCTGTTGCCCAGACTGGAGTGCTGTGGTATAATCAAAGCTCACTGCAGCCTCAAATTTCTGGGCTCAGGTGATCCTCTGGTCTTGGCCTCCTGTGTAGCTAGGACTACAGGTACACACCACTATGCTAGGTTAATTTTGTAAAATTTTGTATAGAGATGGTGTCTCACTTTGTTGCTCAGGCCGGTCTTGAACTCCTGGCCTCAAGCAATCCTCCTGCCTGGGCCTCCAAAAGTGTTGGGATTATAGGCATGAGCCACCACACCTGCCCCATTGTCCCATTTCATATGAAAAAATAAACCATGATGTAATCTTTTCCCCTTACTTGAAAAGATGTTAGAAATTTCTTAGCATTAAAAGATTTACAGTATATTCTGTAGTTACTTTCCATAGGCAGCAAAATAATTTAGGATGAATAAACATTTTTTTAATTTAAATTTTAACTTTTGTAGAGATAGGGTCTTACTCTGTCACCCAGGCTGGAGTGCAGTCGCCCGATCATAGCTCACTGTAGCCTTGAACTCCTGGGCTCAAGCATTCCTCCTGCCTCAGCCTCCCAGGTAGCTGGGACTACAGGTGCACACCACCATTCCCAGCTAATCTTTAGTTTTTGTAGAGACGGGGTCTCACTATGTTACTCAAGCTAGTCTTTAACTCTGGAACTCAAGAGATCCTCCTGCCTCAGCCTCCCAAAGTGCTAGGATTATAGGCAGGAGCCCCTGCACTCGGCTTGAGTACATGTTTTTGTTTTTGTTTTAAGGCTAGTCAGAATAATAAACATTTTTAGTGGGAGACTTTTTGAGAAGAGTAGGGGAGCCCCTCAGGGACACACTCATGAAATCCGTGATTATGTTGACATGGAGCCTGCTACTAAGTCAGTGACTTTGCTTCCCCCACTTCAGGCTTTACAAGCTGTCCTCCTACAAAAGATGTGAGAGAGGCCTTTTTGATTGAAAAAGTCCATATTGGGATATAATCCCTGAGATCGCACAGGCTTTGTTCAGAGGCATATGGATAATAAGCTATTCATAAATCTCCACTTAGGTCACTTTTTTGATCTGATCCCATGAATTACCAGTAATTGATGAGTAATTTGATTTCCTTTGCATTGGAGTGGAGTGGGATGGGCTATAGACAGCTTATGTCAGGAATAGACTTTATGAGTGTGTATTTTAATATTTATTTGTGATTCTTTGCTAAAACCAAATATAGATGATCTTCAGTTTCTCTTGTTTTCTCTTATGCTTCATCTGAAAAAAAAATTTAAATTGATTGTATTAGATTTTCTTAAAAATCATAACTCTTTTGGGGCAGGCTTATAGTTTGAAATCTTTGTATGTTTTGAAAATCCTAGGTTAGTGCATTGATTTCCAAACTGGTAAACCAACGTAGTGTATTATTTTGACCTAGGACAGCATACATAGGAAGGATAGAAATTTTATAAAGCCTAGCTTTTTGGGCATGTATTACACTTTTTCAAACAAAACTATGAATGGCTTGAATTGGTTATAAACTACATCTACAGATTAAAGATGACTCTTCCTCTTTGGTAAAAGACATTGATAGGGCCAGGCATGGTGGCTCATGCCTATAATCCTAGCACTCTGGTAAGCTGAGATGAGTGGATTGCATGAACTCAGGAGTTTGAGACCAGCCTGGGCAATTTGGTGAAACCCAGTCTCTACAAAAAATACAAAAGTTAGCCAGGCATAGTGCCAAGCACCTGTAGCTATTCGGGAGGATGAAGTGAGAGGATCACCTGAGCCCGGGAGGTCGATGCTGCTGTGAGCTGCGATTGTGTCCCTGCACTACAGCATGGGTGACAGTGAGACTCTGTCTCAAAAAGAAAAGACATTGATAGGCAGGAAATTTTTACTCCAGTCTCCCATATTTAATTTAGCCATAGAAATGCTAAGTAGAGGCCGGGCACGGTGGCTCAAGCCTGTAATCCCAGCACTTTGGGAGGCCAAAATGTGCGGATCACGAGCAGGAGATCGAGACCATCCTGGCTAACACGGTGAAACCCCGTCTCTACTAAAAAATACAAAAAACGTGGCGGGCGCCTGTGGTCCCAGCTACTCGGGAGGCTGAGGCAGGAGAATGGCATAAGCCCGGGAGGCGGAGCTTGCAGTGAGCTGAGATCCAGCCACTGCACTCCAGCCTGGGCTACAGAGCGAGACTCCGTCTCAAAAAAAAAAAAAAAATGCTAATTAGAAAACATGAATCAATAAACCAATTAATTGCAATTTTAGCCGGTGAATACCTAAAAATGATTTTTAAACTGTAGAACCATGATGTAATAATTTTAGAGGACAGCTAGCAAGAGTAAAGTAATTGGAACCATCAAAGACTTAAAAGAAAGTGGTTATTTTAGTTACTGGGCTGTTGAACTCTTATTCATCTTTTTTCTTTTCTCACCCTCATCTCCGAAGCGGCTGCATTTCAACAAGGAAAGATACCTCCTACTCCATTCTCTGCTCCTCCTCCTGCAGGGGCGATGATACCACCTCCCCCCAGCCTTCGTAAGTTTAAAGTTTTAATCTTAAGGGGTGTGATGGGGCAGGCTGTCCTTTGGTTAGGTTACATTATCTCACCGTTGGCTTTCAAATGCTGTTGCATTTGTATGTAGATAGTAATATAAATGTATAAATACATAAATGTTGAATATAGATGCGTGTAGTAATGGAAAACAACTTTAGTGGTATAATTTCTAAAATAACTTTAGAGTTAACTTTTGATTGCATTGTCACTAAGTACTGTATTTGTGGCATCCCAAGTGTGGATCTAAGAGAGATTTAAATGGAAAGAAAGCTCAGAATGAACCTCTGATTAGATGAGCTAATACATGAATAGGAGTTGCTAGGTACATTAAATTATTTATTCTATGAGCACAGCACTAGAGGACTGAAATAGCTGATAAACTCCTTAGTCTTTTGCCCTATTTTCTAACCCACCTAACACCAAAATCTATATCTTAGAAACATAAGAATTAGGCTGGGCGTGGTGGTTCACACCTGTAATCCCAACACTTTGGGAGGCTGAGGCAGGTGGATCACCTGAGGTCAGGAGTTCAAGACCAGCCTGGCCAACATCATGAAACCCCATCCCTACTAAAAATACAAAAATTAGCCAGGCGTGGTGATGCACGTCTGTAGTCCTAGCTACTCAGAAGGCTGAGGCAGGAGAGTTGCTTGAACTTGGGTGGTGGAGGTTGCATTGAGCTGAGATTACCCCACTGCACTCTAGCCTGGGCAATACAGCAAGACTGTGTCTCAAAGAAAAAAAAAGAAAGGTAAGAATGAGATCATTGAAAGGAGAGTGGATCATGGGCCCAGCTTTCTGGGAAAGTTTGTTGCTTTTGTGTGACAGACAAGAGGAGACTGAGTGCTGCACTGGATCATACTGTACTGTGGCTCTCCTGGGAGCAGACTGAAATCACATACAGGACCTAGACTCAATCTTGCACACAATCACAAGTATAGACTCAGGGAAGTAGGCTGTTTGTAATAGTTGCACACTAATGTAGGTGGACCACTAATGTCCTGCCAAACCTTTTCTGGGCACCTGCCATCCTAGGACCTGGTCAGGCCTCAGCCCATAGCAACTCCAAGGTTACTTCTCTCTCCTTTTCTACCTTGACTGGCTGGCACTCAACTCCATTATTTTTGATAGCAGAATAGTCTATGGTATGAATTTACCATAATTTACCTCACTATTTTCTTTCTTTCTTTCTTTCTTTCTTTTTTTTTGAGATAGAGTCTTGCTGTGTCGCCCAGGCTAGAGTGCAGTGGCGTGATCTCAGCTCACTGCAACCTCCGCCTCCTGGGTTCCCTGTATTCAAGTGATTCTCCTGCCTTAGCCTCCCAAGTAACTGGGATTACAGGTGCATGCCACCATGCCCAGCTAATTTTGTATTTTTAGTAGAGATGGGTTTTTGCCATGTTGGCCAGGCTGGTCCTGAACTCCTGACCTCCTGACCTCCTGTGATCTGCCCGCCTCGGCCTCCCAAAGTGCTGGGATTACAGGCTTAAGCCACCATCCCCAGCCTGCCTCACTATTTTCTTATTGGATATTTAAGTTGTTCCAAATTTTAGGTATTGTAAATGATACTGTCAGGAATATCCCTGCATATAAGTCTTTGTATTTCCAAAGAATCTTTTAAAACCATGTTTTCATTTTTTACAAAGGGATCTGAAATTAAATACTTGTGGCTTAAGTCCATCAGCTTTTTGTCACGAGCCCTATAGAAGGTACAACCTCTCCACCCCTTTGTTTTGTTTTTTTAAATTAAAATCTCAATTTTTCTTAACCTAGGGAATCTGACTTTATTTTATTCTTCTGTCTAGGCAGACTTGTTCTTGCTTTTTATTAATGTTTTATGGCATGTGATTTTTGTGGATCTGCTATTATAAAAAGAAACCATAAGAGGGATATTGTTTCAGAATTCGAAGGAGTTCATGAGATCCTTTTAGTTTGATTAAGAAGAGAAAATGTTGCCGGGGGCAGTGGCTAATGCCTATAATCCTAGCATTTTGGGAGGTTGAGGTGGGCAGATCACCTGAGGTTGGGAGTTCGGGACCATCCTGACCAACACGGAGAAACTCTGTCTCTACTAAAAATACAAAGTTAGCTGGGCACGGTGGCACATGCCTGTAATCTCGACTACTCGGGAGGCCGAGGCAGGAGAATCGCTTGAACCTGGGAGGTGGAGGTTGCGGTGAGCCGAGATCGTGTCATCGTACTCTGGCCTGGGCAACAAGAATGAAACTCCCGTCTCAAAAAAAAAAAAAAAATAGAGAAGAGAAAATGTTAATATGTGAACACACCTTAACCACAGGCTCCATTCTTTATTTCAGCGGGTCCTCCTCGCCCTGGTATGATGCCAGCTCCCCATATGGGGGGCCCTCCCATGATGCCAATGATGGGCCCTCCTCCTCCTGGGATGATGCCAGTGGGACCTGGTAAGTTTGAATGTCTTGTCTTTCTAGTTTGCTCCCTTGTGTTTCTAGTGTGCTCCATTTAGTTTAGTCACTATGCATAACTGACACTTAATGGAAGGAAGTTAGTATGTGTAGCCAAAGCTTGAAAATGGGGAGTTGTGCTCCACTTCTGAGGGTGGAATACTTACATAAATTGTCTAATTAGCTGTTTAAATGTACTATTGTAACAAATTAAATTTGGTCAATTATTAATGGTAAAGAAAAAGAAATACTTGGTTTGTCATTATAATTGGATGGTATCCAGTGACCTTGTGCTACTAAAAGCAGGATAGGTTGCGTCTGTTTTTATTTTCCTCTCTTCTGTTTCCTTGCCTCACCCTGGCTTTTGGCCATTTATACTGAAGAGAAGGGTTGATGAACTTGTTCCATTTTGTGGGAAGGGGGAAGGTTATAGATACATTTTCTCAGTTTTGATTTGGAGCAGAGCCACCTCTTGCTGCTTGTTGAATCTTGCAGTTTAACTTGGCCACATCATTATATTAAAAAGCTTTCAGCCTGGTAGTTGGTTTTTTATTTGGGGAGGGGTAAAAAAACTTACACTTCAAACATTTTATTTTAATGTCAATTTAAACATACGTTAATTTGCAAATCTTTCTGATACATGAGCAGGACCTTTGCTTTAAGAGTGTGTCTAATGATTGGAACACTGTGTATTTATTGCATTAACCAGTAAGCCATAACTATAACACATCCTCTACCAACTTTAGTTTCATTTCTTTGAAGTGGTCTGAAACCTTGTGATATAATCTAGTTCCAATCTTTTATGATTATTTTGCCTACCAAATTGTTGAGCATTTTTTGGTGATAGTTTATCTGAGTCTTCCTAAGTATTAAGTTAGTTTTCATAGAAGCTGTTCTCTTTTCACACTCATTTAATTGGTTTGCAGAAAATTATATATATATAATTAGAGTAATAACTACAACTGACATAATCAGGTTTGGGAACAGATGTGACCGACACCTCCAACTCCTCTGGAAAAACAAGCTGCAAAGTTACTAGGGTAGCTTCCTAGGCAGAAGTATCAGTATGCTTGCTGTGGGTATCACTTAGAGGAGGGGGAGAGTATAGATAAAGAGAATTCCTGCCTTACTGACTTGTGAGCCCAAAACACAATCAAAATGACTTCAATGACTTTAGCATCCTTAACCCAGGCTCACAAATTCAAATTCTTAGAGGTTTTAGGGATGTGGTGAACTGGGGAATGCATGATTCGTCTAAAGAAGGCTTCTAGAACTCAGCTTCAGCCTGTGGTTGACATTCGAGAATACAGGCTTGGTGTTGCCTTTTCTCCTGAGTTTGCTTTTTGTTTTCTGTTTTTTCAAGCCAGGATAAAATGATAAGATTGTGGGATTTGTGTTAAAATAATTGAGTAGTTAGAGGGTGGACAGGGATAGGAATGGGTGGGGAGTAGAGATAAAGTTGTCCATGAGTGGGTAATTGTTGAAGCTGGATGATGGATACATGGATGTTCATTATACTCCTCTTTACTATTCTTGTGTATGTTTGAACATTTCCATAATAAGAAGTTTAAAAGAAAAAAGGAATCTACTCTTTCGTATGAAATCCCAATGTTGTCAACTGATTCAAAGTAAATCCACTATGGAGACCAAAGAAAACAAGTTGCCAGTTTTTAATCTTTGGTCTATGTCCATCCATTTCCTCTAAGAAATTCTTAAATATAGGTTAAGCATGGGCTTTTATGTAGTATTTAGAAGTTAGTAGTATTCTCTGTTCCTGTTTAAATTGGTCTTAAATTCTGTACCTGTTGGATTTTGTGTCTTTGCATATTCTTGTGTTTCACTATTTGTGATAAGGCTATATTCAAGTTTGAATATACTTTTCTCTTGAACCCTTTGCTGCAAGCCTTTAATCCAAATTATTTAGTTAAAAATAAATTGGTAAAATTTGATGTTTAAAAAGAATATAGATAACATGAAATTATGGGGCATAATAGTAAAATTAATATCCATGAACCCACCACCCAGCTGGGAAGTAGAACATTATTGATTCCATTGAAACCACCTGTGTTCCTCCCCTACCCCTCTGCCTGCCTTCCCCTCCCTGGCTCATTTATTTGGCTGGTTTATTGATGGGACACTTAAAAAAATTCATTAATAGTTTCTGAAATGCATTAGAAAAATCAGATTTTTGTGTGCACTAATTGTTATAAATCACGTTATTGCCTATTATTTTTCTTGACTTGAGCTAAGTATGGTTACTAACAGGTTCCCAGCATGGGCCTCCTGCTCACCTTTCCTACAACTCCGAACAAACGCTTAGTGGTAAGATTGTCCTCTGTGCCTGTGTACATTCATGAAATAGCTCCTGGTTATATGGTGGATATCACTGATTAAAAGAGCTGACTGAAAAACATGTGACTTAGTTGTGAATTTCCCTGAGTGAGAAAAAAAGGTCAGTTTAGGGAACTAGTGTCCCTGGTGATTTCTGGAAAGCAATATATTAATAGTTTCCCCCTTACTATCATTAGATCATGATTCCCATATGGTTCTTGTGTTGACCTTTTTGTTTTTTTGTCTGAGAATGTCTAAGTAATTTACAGATGTGATAAATTTGTTGCATTTCTTCTGTCACGTATGTCTTTTTTCCAGCATTTTGCAAGGGGGGCTACGTTTTTTGTTTTTAATTGAAGTCCCATCAAACTCTCCCTAAATAATATTTTCTGACTCCCTTTTTTTCCCTCTTCTTTGTTTTGTCCTGCAGCTCCTGGAATGAGGCCGCCCATGGGAGGCCACATGCCAATGATGCCTGGGCCCCCAATGATGAGACCTCCTGCCCGTCCCATGATGGTGCCCACTCGGCCCGGAATGACTCGACCAGACAGATAAGGATAGAGGGGAGGCTTCATTGTATCAGTTTTATATTACCTGTTCTGCTTCACCAGGAGATCATGCTGCTGTGATACTGAGTTTTCTAAACAGCATAGGGAAGACTTGCTCCCCTGTCCTATCAAAGAGAGAATAGTTTTGGAGGGGAGAAGTGGGACAAAAAAGATGCAGTTTTCATTTATATTGGGAAATGTGAAAATAAAATTGTCAACTCTTTCAATTAAAAGTGTGTTCCCTTTTTCCTCCTCTCCGTGTTCTCTGTGTATCATAAAGGAAATGAAACATTCCAGTTCTGTTTCTCTAGCTCATTACCTCTTCAGCATATCCTCTGCGTGAGATTATTTTTCCTTAGCTATATAGTAAATCTCTTCGGGCATCCTCCCTTTATTAGTAAAGTCATCTTGTACAGCACTAAATCTAGCACTTGCAGAGCTTTTGTTGGTTAAAACAATCAACAGCTCGGTTAATTTTTCACATGAATAACACTTTGTATAGTAAGTGGAAAATTTTAAGTCTTTTATGCTGAAGTAAGGGAAAATAGTTCCTGTTGTGTGCATGTCAGCTAAGAATGGCAAGAATTGCCCTAAACTCTGCTTCTCCTTTCTCTCAGCTCCCCTCTTCCTTGGGCTCAAATAATGTGAAAAGTTTCTCCTTTTTAAAAAGCTTATTTAAAGTTATTTTAAAAAATAACTTTAAGGCCGGGCGTGGTGGCTCACGCCTGTAATCCAAGCAGTTTGAGGACTGAGGCAGGCAGATCACCTGAGGTCAGGAGTTCCAGACCAGCCTGAACAATGTGGTGAAACCCCATCTCTACTAAAAATACAAAAATTAGCCAGGCATGGTGGTACGTGCCAGTAATCCTAGCTACTCAAGAGGCTGCGGTGGGAGAATCACTTGAACCTGGGAGGCAGAGGTTGCAGTGAGCCAAGATTGTGCCACTGTACTCCAGCCTGGGCAACAGAGTCTCAAAAAAAAAAAAAAAACAATAATAACATAATAATCAAAAATAATAATAAAAATAACTAAAGGGCCAAGTGTAATAGCTGACGCCTCTAATCCCGGCATTTTGGGAGACTGAGACGGGTGGATTGCTTGAGCCCATGAGTTTGAGACCAACCTGGGCAACATGGGGAAACCCCGTCTTTACAAAAAAATACAAAGATGAGCTGGGTGTGGTGGCACACGCCTATAGTCCCAGCTACTCTAGAAGCTGAGGTAGGAGGATTCCGCTTGAGCCTGGGAGGCGGAGGTTGCAGTGAGCTGAGATTGCACTGTTACAGCCTGGGTGACCGAGCAAGACCTCATCTCAAAAAAAACCAAAAAGCAACTCAAACAACTTTAAATTAGAGATAGTGTCTCACAATATTGGCCAGGCTAGTCTGGAACTCCTGGTTTCAAGCATTCCTCTTGCCTCAGCCTCTTGAATTGTTGGGATAACAGGCGTGAGCCACTACACCTGGCCTGAAAACTTTCTATAGCATTGGTAAAATTACACAGATTTCTATATTACAGAAGGTGGTTTTATTTGTTTATTTTTTGAGATAGGGTCTCACTCTATTGCCCAGGCTGGGGTGCAGTGGCTCAGTCATAGCTTACTACAGCTTTGACCTCCTGGGCTCAAGTGATCCTCCTGCCTTGGCCTCCCAAAGTGCTGGGATTACAGGGGTGAGTCACTGTCTCTTGGCCGAATTGGGTTTTTTTTGTTTGTTTTTTCTTTTTTTTTTTTTTTTGAGACGGGGTCTCACTCTGTCGCCAGGCTGGAGTGCAGTGGCGGCATCTCGGCTCACTGCAAGCTCACCCTCCGGGTTACGCCATTCTCCTGCCTCAGCCTCCCGAGTAGCTGGGACTACAGGCGCCCGCCACCTCGCCCAGCTAGGTTTTTGTATTTTTTAGTAGAGACGGGGTTTCACCGTGTTAGCCAGGATGGTCTCCATCCTCCTGACCGCGTGGCATCCGCCCATCTCGCCTCCCAAAGGTGCTGGATTAACAGCTGGAGCCCCGCGAACGCCGCAGAATGTGTTTTTAGAATTCTGTTTGTTACATAAGTAGGCTGTAAAAGTAGCATATTTTCAGGGAAGCATCTAGAAAGGAAGCCATTGGCACTGTTCATATTCAGTGAAGTGTAAAACTTAAATTCTCGGCTGGGCGTGGTGGCTCATGCCTGTAATCCCAGCACTTTGAGAGACCGAGGTGGGCAGATCACAAGGTCAGGAGTTTGAGACCAATCTGGCCTACATGGTGAAACCCCGTCTCTACTAAAAAATACAAAACATTAGCTGGGTGTGGTGGTGTGCGCCTGTAATCCTAGCTACTCGGGAGGCTGAAGAAGGATAATTGCTTGAACCCAGGAGGCGGAGGTTGTAGTGAGCCAAGATCGCACCATTGCACTCTAGCCTGGGTGACAGAGCAAGACTCCCGTCCTGAGAAAAAAACAAAAAAACTTAAAACTCATATTGCAAGTGGGAATGAAAACTATTGAATACCCTCTGGGAAGGCAATTTGGCAGTATCTATCAGAATTATAATAACTGTACCTATGACCTAGTATTTCCATGTCTAGAAATTTATCCTGAAGGTAGACTTGCACATGTATGAAATGACTGACGTGTATTATGTATTGCAGCAAAAGATTGGAAATAATATAGATGTCCAATGATAGGGGGCTGGTTTAAGTATAATACAGTTGCATATACCATGTTGCATATACATGCATCAATACACAGTTCCATATACTAAGCATGTTAAAGCAGTATAAGGAAGTTCTGTGTACCAATAGGAAAAGATCTCCAAGATACACATTGTTCTACACATTGGTTCACCTAACAATGTATTGTTTGCGGCTATCCTTTTTTTTTTTTTCTGAGACGGAGTCTCACTCTGTTGCCCAGGCTGGAGTGCAGTGGCATGATCTTGACTCACTGCAAGCTGCACTTCCTGGGTTCACGCCATTCTCCTGCCTCAGCCTCCTCAGCAGTTGGGACCACAGGCACCCGCCACCACGCCCAGCTAATTTTTTTTTTTTCTATTTTTAGTAGAGGCGGGGTTTCACTGTGTTAGCCAGGATGGTCTCGATTTCCTGACCTCGTGATCTGCCTGCCTCGGCCTCCCAAAGTGCTGGGATTACAGGTATGAACCATGCGCCCAGCCGATAGATTCTTTATTTTAAAACTTACTACAAAACTACATTAATCAAGACACTGTGGTACTTGCATAAGAATAGACATATAGATAAATAAAATAGAATTAAGAGTCCAGAAATAAACCCTTACATCTGTCATCAGTTGATTTTCACCAAGACAATTCAATGGGGAAAATGATGTTTTCAACAAATGTTGCTAGGACAACTGGATATCCACATGTAAAATTATGAAGTCAATTCCCTGCATCATACTATATATAAAAATTATATATGGGTCATGTTAAAATGGATCATATTCCTAAATGTAAGAGCTAAAACTATACAATCTTAGAAGAGAATATAGATGTAAATCTTCATGTCTTCAGATTAGGCAATGATTTCCCAGATATGACACCAAAAGCACAGCAACACAAGTGGGGGGAAGATAAACTGGATATCATCTACTTTTTTTGCACTTCATTTTTCTTTGTCTTTTTTTTGTTTGTTTTTGAGATGGAGTCTCGCTCTGTTGCCTAGGCTGGAGTACAGTGGCACAATCCCAGCTTACTGCAACCTCTACCTCTCAGGTTTAAGCGATTCGCCTGCCTCAGCCACCTGAGTAGCTGGGACTACACACGTACGCCACCACGCCTGGCTAACTTTTTTGTATTTTTAGTAGAGACGGGGTTTCACCATGTTGGCCAGGCTGGTCTTGAACTCCTGACCTCAGGTGATCTGCCCGCCTCGGCCTCCTGAAGTGCTGGGATTACAGGCATGAGCCACCGCGCCCAGCCTGCACTTCATTTTTCTATCAGGAAAGTTAAGACAGCTCATAGAATGGGAGAAAGTTTTTGCAAATAATATATCGTGTAACGGACTTGTATCTACAATGTATAAAGAAATATAACTCAACAAAGACAATTAAATAATCGACAAGAGATCTGTACAGACATTGTTTCCAAAGAAGATTTACAAATGGCCAAAAACCTATGAAAAGGTGTTCAACATCAGCCATCTAGGAAATGCACACAAATCCTTAACCAAATATTGGCAATCAGAATTCAGCAATATATGAACATTATATACCATGAGCAAAAGAGATCTGTTTCAGGGATGCAGGCTGATTCAGTATTTGAGAATCATTAGGCCAGGCATGGTGGCTCACGCTTGTAATCCCAACACTTTGGGAGGCTGAGGCGGGCAGATCACCAGAGGTCGGGAGTTTGAGACCAGCCTGATCAACATGGAGAAACCATGTGTCTACTAAAAATACAAAATTAGCTGGGCGTGGTGGCACATGCCTACAATCCCAGCTACTAGGGAAGCTGAGGCAGGAGAATCACCTGAACCCAGGAGGTGGAGGTTGCAGTGAGTGGAGATCATGCCATTGTACTCCAGCCTGGGCAACAAGAGCAAACCTCTGTCTCAAAAAAAAAAATAATAACAATTATTATTGCTGGGTGCAGTGGCTAGCGCCTGTAATCCCAGCACTTTGGGAGGCTGAGGCAGGTGGATCACCTGAGGTCAGGAGTTCAAGACCAGCCTGACCAACATGGAGAAACCATGTCTCTACTAAAAATACAAAATTAGCAGAGCACAGTGGCACTTGCCTGTAATCCCAGCTACTTGGGAGGCTGAGGCAAGAGAATCGCTTTAACCTGGGAGGCGGAGGTTGCAGTGAGTCGAGATCGTGCCATTGCACTCCAGCCTGGGCAACAAGAGCGAAACTCTGCCTCAAAAAAAAAAAAAAAAAGTTAAATTTAATCCACTATGTTAACAGGCTAAATAAGAAAAATTCTTGATCATAGCATTTCATGCAGACAAAGCATTTGACAAAATTCAACATGATAAAAATAGAGAAAAATAGACAACTTCCTCAACTTGTTAAAGAGCATCCACAAAAATCTACAGCTGATCCATGTGTTGGTGAAAACTGAATGGTTTGCCCCTAAGTTTGGGAATAAGACAAAAAAGTCCACTCTTAGCACTCTTTTTAACAATGTACCTGAAGTTTTAGCTACCAGAAAAAATTAAAAGGCATGCAGATCAGAAAGGAAGAAAAAAAATTGTCCCAATTGCATATGACATCATTGTGTACATAAAAAATTCCAAGAAGGTAACTCA